AGACGGTGTGCAGACTTGGGGCCGCTTCGCGCGCCCTCTGGCCCCCGAGGATGCTGGCCTCCTCCACGACACCTTCCCCGACGGCTTCTTCTGGGCTGTGGGCACCGCTGCCTACCAGATAGAAGGCGGCTGGCGGCAGCACGGCAAGGGCGAGTCCATCTGGGACACGTTCACCCACTCACCCCCAACACTCCCAGGAGACCCCCCGGTAGCTGGTCTGCCGTCGGGTGCCCTGTCACAGTCCTTGCCCGCCACCGGGGACGTGGCCAGCGACAGCTACAACAATGTCTTTCGCGACACGGAGGGACTGCGTGAGCTCGGGGTCACCCACTACCGCTTCTCCATCTCGTGGGCGCGAGTGCTCCCCAATGGCAGTGCGGGCACCCCCAACCGCGAAGGGCTGCGCTACTACCGACGCCTGCTGGAGCGGCTGCGGGAGCTGGGAGTGCAGCCTGTGGTCACCCTGTACCATTGGGACCTGCCCCAGCGTCTGCAAGACGCCTATGGCGGCTGGGCCAACCGCACCTTGGCGGACCACTTCAGGGATTTCGCCGAGCTCTGCTTCCGCCACTTTGGCGGCCAGGTCAAGTACTGGATCACTGTCGACAATCCCTACGTGGTGGCCTGGCATGGCTACGCCACTGGGCGCTTGGCCCCAGGCGTCCAGGGTAGCGCTCGGCTCGGGTACCTGGTGGCGCACAACCTCCTGTTGGTGAGTTCGAGGGGCCAGGCGGAGGGCCACGCCGGGGACAGGGCCTCTGGAGACTCCAGGGTCAAGAGGGGTGCCTGAGATGTTTGTGTGACCACTCGGGAGTCGCAGGAGGCGTGTCGGGCGGTGCAGGGCGGTGCGGGGGATTTGGGAGTGTGTGAAGGGTTGGGGGAAGAGACCAAGCAGTTTAGGCTTTCTTTGGAGGGTGTGAAGTTTGGAATGGGAAGGAAACTCCGCAGTGGGAGCGCCAGTGAGTGCCTAGAGTGAGTGCCCTTTGGAGACCATTTGTCAGGAAGATAATGGAATCAGTTTCTCCCGGAGAAAAGGGAGCTCCTTTCTCTGGGTATAGAAAAATCTCCCAATGTATGGCGGGAGGATTTATTAATAGTTGCTATGGGGAGGATGAGGAGGGTGAATGAAAGACCAAGTTTGTTCAGAAGCTGTGGAGACAGCTTTACTCTGCTAGGGTTTGTGGAGGTGGCAGGAGTTCAATGTTAATCCAGTAAGATCTGTGTTGCTTGTGACTCAGTGCACAGCACAGCAATGCAGAGGTGTCAAAATCGCATATCGTGGAGAGCTGGGTTTACATGTCTTTGGAAGTTCTTTCTGTCAAACCTTATTTAATTGGCAGGGGTGTGAAAAACCCTAAAACAATTTTAAACAAAGCTAGCCATAAAAGCAAATAACTACAGATGTCCTCCAAGTGTATTTCCATGATGCTCTCATCAATTGGAAGGATTCCTCCAGAAGATATTCTTAATCTGAAAAAAAAAATGATTTGAACACTATTGTACAAAAAGCTTCATAATATTTGACAGTACAAAGTGTTGATATGCTACGATCAAGTTGTCTCCCAAAAAATTCTTCCTCCTTTTTCTTCTTTACTTAGTGTTCAAGATTAGGTCTCATTGATTTGAGCGTTCATTCATAATGATGTCAGTTGTTGGTACACTTTGTATAGTTTTGTATGAAGAAAATATTTCATGTGTATGTACAAACATTTTAATAAAAGTGTTTAAAAGTTTAACTTTTGGTACTGTATTTTGGTGACTCACTAAGAATTAAGCCAAGCATTTTGAACAAATTCAAGACAGAACACTTCTGAATACTTTTAATTGAAGCTGTAGATAATAGAGGCATCACATATGGGTTATTGAGTTGGCTTAGTGCTCTGAGCTTCCAGTGATGTTGTAATAATGACTAAATACATTGTATGTCAGCTCCACAGAATCTGCTACCACAGATCATAAAAGCATGCTGGATTTGTTTGAAAAAAATTGAGATGTTAGTGATTTCATATTGATATATATCTTTTCATTAACATACTTCAGAACAATGCTAATAAACTTTTCAGTTTGGCCATCCTTTTAAGGAATCAAACAAAATATCATAAGGACCACCTGTTTATGGCTGGTGATAGAAAAATTCTGAAAAGAACTGGCCCCTCTGCCGAGGAAGACATAAGCAAATTTCAGTCCATACCAGAAAAAAATAAGAGATTTGTGGACCAGCTGGAAGACCAAATAGACCATTTCTGCAAAATCACCACTTTAGATTTAAATTACATGAGTTATATTTTTAGAGTGCATGTGATAAACTCCATATGTATACAAAAGTCATCAGTTGATATTTTAGTGACTTACATGATTATTTCATATGTAAAGTAAGGTATTGAGACAGCAGGAGCCTTCTTGTACTCTGGTATTTTACATAGTCAGCATGCTTTTGATTCTTGTGCCCACTCTCAGCCCTTTGATTAACTTTTCAGTTATATTTTTGGAACCTTACACACACACACACACACACACAAACACACACACACACAGACACTGTTGCCAAACACTAACCACCCTTCCCAGGAATGCAGTGGACTCTGAATTCATAGGAAATTAGTGACAAGGTGACAGTTGCTTTTGCTGATTCTGCAATCAAAATGCTAGTTGTTGTAAAACATTACTTTTGCTTTCAAATTTCTTTGGTTTGGAATTTAGTCACTTTTGTATCTTATGAAGTAAGTTGTCATTATCAAAGAATATCTTAAATTAATTTTTTCATTAGATATTTTAATTCTGTTTTTAATATTCTTTCTTGCTGTAGTGTTGCAGAGAGGGGGGATAGTTAAGTTTTGACCTTACTAGAAGAGATAAAACATATTCTGCAAGTTTTGTTAATAGAATATTTCAGCTGGGGCTTAAATATTGCTGTTAGGGGCCACTGAATTCCTCACATTTCATATGCATTTGGGGATCTGATGCTGCTGAAGGATAAAGTTGTCCAGCACCCCTCCCCTTCGGTTCTGTACTGTGCTTCCACTCCTTTAAAAATTAGGTAAGGATACCCCCTGGGGACACTGGAAATTTTACATGTGCGACCTTCCCCCC